TCAAATAACAAGCTCTATCGAACTATGATAGCAAAAGGCCCACAAAAAAAAACCAAATATTATGTTCAATTATCATATTGTTGAGATTTTATTTTATTATTATTATGTTATATTTGTACTTGTGTTTACTTATTGTTTTAATAGTTTATTCATTTTTAATCATGAATCTACAAATGAATTTGTACAATTAATTGTTTGTTTTTCTTTGCTTGTGATGTTATTCCTTTTTGTAATGTATTATTTTGAAATTTTAATCAGAGAATTTCTATTTATTTTAGATCAAGCTCTGATAATCTTTATTGATTTTTTAAATAATATTCTCTAATAATAAATTCATCTGTTCTCTTAAGAAATAATAACAGCTATATATTAATGTATTTTGCATGTTATTAGCTTCACATTCGATGTATATTATAATAAAACGACGTATTATTTTTTGTTTTTGACAGCACAATATTAGTTTACAGAATAAATATACTTCTAATAGTTCAAAGTATATTGCGCTTAAATTTTTTGAGTAGGCTATGAAAATTCAACTGTCTTATGTATGACACAACGATTGTTGGAAATTTCATAGTATCTTTATATACACAAAGAGTATGACTAAAATCATTTTGTACTGGACAAATATTAATTCTATTATAAAACGGTGATCTGTAAAATTAAAACTAATCTTTAATCAAACTTTTGATTGTTGAATTAATGAAATATGTTGTAAAAACGTCTTGTACAAAAGTCAAAACCTATAGCTCGATTATTTTAAAGGTTATAAGTCTTTGTTTTTCGTTTTATGATTAATTATCAATCCAAAACATCTCAAGGTTTGTATATATTTAATAAAACAAATCAATTGAATAATACATTGAATGACTTTTATCGACTAAATACCTAAAGTTTCAATCAAAATAATATTGAGAACAGCAGTTTTATTCGGTATACTTTATTAATTGTTGAGAATATTATTGTACGACATTTTCTTTCTTTTCTTCCAATTGAAATGTCGTCATAGTGACACATAAAATCATAAATATTCTTCTACGTGACTGTTGACTATTCTTATATTTTTGATAACGTACTCATAGTTTTCGTAGGAAAATTCTTACTGAAAATCATGAATTCAAGTTTTCGTGCAGTTTTATTATCAACAATTGCTTATAAAAATATTTATCGTGATGTCGATTAAAATCTGTATAAACGAATCGTTCAAAAATGGACATCCGCTATGTATATACAAGATCATTATTCTTTATTCATTTCTCCGTACAAGTAGGAGTAGCTCTCACCCTTCCTTTTTTTATCTGCTCTAGTTCCCGAAGACACTAAAACAAATTTAGCTCAATTTTTTATCTCAGATAGACCACCGAAAATAAGGAGACAGATGTTCGAGAAAAAAAAACAATTTTTAAAGTGAATTTTTGCGGATTTTTCCTGAAAATCTCACTTGGATGATCTTTTTCTTAGAGAAATGGGTATAGGTTTACAGTCTAAATTTAGTTGTCGACTTTTGAAATCCTATAAATTCGGGTAGGAAAGTCAAAAACAAAAACGGTCAATTTTACCTCTGAAGGATATTTTCAAGTATCCATGGTTGGGTGTGGGTGTTGATAAGTGAAGAAGCACCCATACCCACACCCATCCGATTTGTGTTGGATTGTGCAAAACTAGTTTCGAGTATCATTCTAGTGCTATTCACCAGCAAAGACTAGAATCTAAGTACTTGTAGTGATTCTATTGTTTAGATAATTAATGCTATGCCCGCAATTATGCACATGAAGCAGACTACTGTCAGCAGTGGAAAGGCGTCTACTTTTCATGTTGTCTAATGCAATAGAAAACATATTTCAACACCATTTTCATTTTATTGTTGCTCATTGAATGTCTTACAATCGTTAGTAGAATTTTGTTGCGAATTCTTGTATAGATCTAATAACTCTTGCAATACAATCATTTTATTTGTAACAAAATGTTCGTTTGAATCACAAAGATTGCAGAGTAACTCACTATCTGCTCATATCATTTAATCTGCCATGATAGAACTTCACCATTGAGCATGATACGTTCTTCTTCTTGGTCTTCATTAAACATTCTATAATATTTGTCTAATTGTTCTAAATCAGTATTGGATTTCTTTACGATACTGAGCATTCGTAATAGACGGCGATTAATATCTCTTATTAGTAAATTGTGGTGAACATCACTATATCGACCGCATTTAAACGAATAGATTATTTTGTAGAGTTTTAATGCGTTTTCATAATTTTCAAATGCTGTCTCATATTGTTTTAATTCCTCGTATATAATGGCCTATACGGTGATACAACTTTGCAGTGTTGAAATCATCTTTTGGCACGATTTCCAAATAAATTTTCGAGGCTTTTTTGTCAAATGTTAGAGCTAGTTTGTATTCCTTATAATGATAATGTACAATTGCGATATTCTTGTAACTGTCAGCTAAACCAAGACGTTGTTCGTTTGAGTTACATAGTGATTCTTGTATTTCCATTGACATCTTGTAATAAAATATTGCCATATTGTAATCTTTCTTCATTTTGTAAACATGACCAAATTTGTGATATGTGCTGGCTACATGAACGTTTTGCTTATCGCCACAACGTTGTATTTGAATCGTTAAAGCTTGTTCTAATTTTAACAGTGCCGAATCATAATCACCTTTCTTCAAATATTCAACAGCTAAACGATTGTACGTACCTTCTGATGGATAAACTGTGGAAAAAAATTCATTAAACCACGTACGAACGGATTATCTTGTTCATTCTCTGTATGGTGACATCTTTCTTCCTTAAAACAATCAATCCGATCATATGAAAGGATATGTTTGCTTGGATCAGTCGCAACTCCCATTTCTGTTAATAATGATTCCAGATCGTCTAATCTAGTTTCTGAGACGAGTTCTTCTTTCCTATATCGATACAGTTCTTTCAATTGATGTACATTTTCATTGCATAGTTGAAGTTTTAATATATAAATTTGTTTTTCTTCGTCTCGTTTTACATCTAATATACGGAAGACCGTACCCAACATAAACAATACCTCGTCTTCTTCCTTGCCGAAATCACTCAAATGAGAGATAGATGCGTAGGGTTTTAATGATTGTGCACGAGTGTCAACTTCAATATCGTAGAGAATGGATTGCCATACATCATTGATATCATGTGCCGACGTAAAGAATAATGCTACATGTTCTTGATTGCTGGTCGAAAAAACTGAATTAACAGAAATATACTGGCCAAGCGCCTTCTGTAGCTGTTGTAGTTCATCTTTAGACATCAATTGTCCACGATATACATGAGTTATTGGTGAAGCAGAAGAAGATTTCTGGATGTTTTGTTCATGTTTCAACTGTTTATATAAATTTTTTATGAAAAATCGATATTTAATTAATGTTTCCCAATCTGCAGTGCGTAATGCTTTATTCAAGGTAACATAAATGCATCCATCTTTATATACCATTGAATACTATGCTCTGGTGTATATTTTCGCTGGAACTCATCGATTCGATCAATTTGTGATTGACTATGACACTATTTGTGACGAAAATAGGCGGCTAATTCATCTTTGCCGTTCGATATATCTTTTGACCGCAAACGAATAACTATGTCGATGAATAACTGTAGCCAAATAAACGATGCATTTTCTTGTAAATTTGTATGCGATTTCTCCTCACTTGTACGGTAAACATTGATTGGTACATGTTGACAATATCGATAGTCTTTAAGAATTTGAGCAATTAAATCATCCAAATGAACGACTACACTCTTGATCTATTACAGAAAGTTGGAAATAATTGAGTAAATCACTAACATACTTATATAGATGACTTGATTGTCAGCTTACTTTTTTATATACTTTAGACCATTGCATATGAAATTCTTTGTCACCGCAAAATATATAGATGGCCAATACTTGCGAACAATCGTGTATCAGAGGAACCAATTGTTTTCCCATACTTCCTGATACGATTAAAATAATTTTATTAACTGTATGTTGAATATATTCTTGGCATTCAACTGCACTATCAAACGTAAGAAGCTCATTATTAACAATATTATTCAGTTCATTTTGTGTTGTCGATCTATCTTTGGCACTCGCGTCTAACCAAATGAGTGTATATGGAGCTGAGGATGGCGATTCTACGATTGAGACAGAGATATCCTGTGAATATTCTTCAGTCATCATACCATTCATCTAGAATATAAATCCTCAAATTAGTCTTCATGTTGGAATA